AGGGGAAGAGGAAGGAAACGGGAAGGGGAGGGGAAAGGAAGGGAAGGGGAGGGGAGGGGAGGGGAAGGGAACGGGAAGGGAAGAGGAAGGAGAGGGGAAGGGAAGGGGAAGGAAGAGAGAGGAAGGGATAATTTTAAACTCCAAGAGATTGATCACAGGGAAAATAAAAGTTTCCTGATTCTTTGGCCACATCAAGTCCCACAGGGAACAAAGCTGCATTAGCTACACGCTTGCTGAGTGTAAATCAGTGACGCCAGCCCATTATCTCAGGACCTTCGATCTCACCTTGAAATCCTATTTCATTGAAGTTATTCTCCTCATCATTAAATGTAGCAGAGAGGAAAAGAGCATTAAAAGTGGCGAAGAGATTTAAAGAAGCCATGTCCCATTGCACCATGCCCTCTGCAGTAGAGTCTCTGAGGTTTTTCATTAATTGCAACTCAAGATGCCCAGCACTGTGCACAGCAGCCCCCCTCCAGCACACCTCTCAGCTTGGGGCTGCTCAAGAGCACTGATGGAGTGGACAGCTATGCATAGATAAATCACTGCCTGTCACACCCGGTGCCTAAATTCCAAGATGGAAAAACACCTGCAATGCTGAGCACCATGAAGAAAATAGGAGAAGAGGATAGCAAAGGAGATGAGAGCCAGGAGAACCTTGATGTGTGGCTGGGCACTGGGGTCACGAAAGCTGTGATGGACAGCAGGGCCTTCTTAGTGTGTCTTTCTAGAGACATGAGCAAAACCATGCCAACAAGGAAGACAAGAGTTGGGGCGCCTGCGTGGCTCAGTCATTAAGCGTCTGCCTTTGGCTCAGGTCATGATCGCGGGGTGCTGGGATCGAGTCCCACACCGGGCTCCCTGCTCAGCGGGAAGCCTGCTTCTCCCTCTTCCCCACTTGTGTTCCCTCTCTCACTGTGTCTCTCTCTGTCAAATAAATAAATAAAATCTTAAAAAAAAAAAAAAAAGATTCAGATTCCTAAATCACTTCCCCCTTTTTGCATAACTGGGCAACCACTCTTCCCCAGCCCTAGGGAAAGACTAGAAGTTATTCCCTGGAGAGGATAAAACAGGGTCTCTGAGCTGGGTAAACAACCAAACACATCAGAGGTAATGGTACACTGAAAACAGACAAATTAGGTAAACAAACACTTTTCCCTCACTTGGGTTCCAGAACACTGACACCCAGGCCTTCAGCTTCCAGGCATGAAATGAGTGTAGACTTTTATAAGAATCCAAGCATTCTAAGAAAAAAATCTAAAGACACTATCAGAGATTCCTCAAATAATTAGCCCTGCCAACATTCTACAGTGAAGCCTGTGGTCAACAAGTCCCATTCACAAGTTCACAGTTTCCAGTCAGTCCTCCATCCCTTACTCAACATGAGCAGAAAACAAGGAGTTTGGAGTATCTGAGAAAAGGTGGAAGACAAAACGAAAACAAAGCAACAAAAGAGCTACTTATAGGAAATTCATCAATGCAAGGAGAAAAACTTTCCTCCCCAAAATCAATATTTTCAAGAGTTCAGAGTATCCAAAACAACCAAATAAAATAACAAGATGTTATTAAAAGGTAACATTCAAAACTTTTAAAAATTTCACTCAAATTAAAAACATGATTAGCTGAAATTAAAAACTCAATATAAGAGATAGAAGGTAAAATTTATGAAATATCTCAGAAAGCAGAGCCAAAAATACCCCACAAAACTACAGGTAGAAAACAACACTGCTAATCCAGGATATTGAACACCCAACTAACAGAGATTCTAAAAGGAGAGAAATAATAAATGGTGGGGAAAATCCCACCAACAAAATAACTGAAGAAAAATTCCCAGAACTAAAAGACATAATTTTTCCAGGGGAGCCTGGGTGGCTCAGTCGTTAAGCATCTGCCTTCAGTTTGGGTCATGATCCCAGGGTCCTGGGATTGAGCCCCGCATCAGGCTCCCGGCTCTGTGGGAAGCCTGCTTCTCCCTCTCCCACTCCCCCTCCTTGTGTTCTCTCTCTTGTTGTGTCTCTCTCTCTGTCAAATAAATAAATAAAATCTTTTTAAAAAAACATAATTTTTCCTATTAAAAGGGCCCTCCAAGTATTTGGGCCATCATAAAGTTTCAGAATATTGAACCCAAGGTAAAGATCCTACAAGCTTCTCAAGAGGGCAAGAAGTGAAGAGGATACCACATTCAAAATATTAGCAATTTGAGTGTTTTTTAGACTTTTCAAAGGTAATTTTGGAAGCTAAAAGACACTGCAACAATCATCTCTGACCTAGAATTTCCTATCTGGATACTCAAGTGCAAGGGCAAAATAAAATCTTTTCAGACAATCCAAGTCTCAAAAACAGTTTACTTTCTGTGTAAGCTTTCTCTGGGAACCACTCCTCCAAAGCTAGAGTATAGTATGATTAAGGAAGACATGGGGTACAGACAATACAAGTCCAGGATGAGAGAGAGGCAAAGGGGATCACCAGGACGATTGTAAAGGCAGATCTCAGGGCAGAGGGAGGTACACCGAGCATGGGGACAATTCCAGACTGGAACAAAACAAGAGGCCCCAGGAGAGACTTCCTCAGGCAAATAAAATCTTAGACTACTAAATGTTTCCAAAATTATTGAGAAGGATTTAGACCACTGATGTAGAGTTTGAAAACAAAAAGCAAATAAAACAAGGCAATTATTAACTCAACAGAAAACAAAAATGTGTACAGGAAAGAAAAAGTAATTGTGGAATGCATAGTTCCATCATGAATAACATTTTTTCTTTAATAACACTTACACTGCCATTAAAAGAAAACATGTTTCTCTACTTGCAACACCAGACACCAAATTGGGGGAGTGGGGTTTCTCACACCAACCAATTCTCCAACTCTCCAGACATCAACTGGGGTGCCCTACAATTCAATTCCGACACTAGTTACTCGAAGTTAGTACAGACCCACAGGTTAAGGGCTCAGTTCCCCAAGACTGCACCTGCTTCAGAGGCCAGTCTCAAGGCTCAGGTTGTCACTCGTACTTCTGACCAACCAGCTATAAGGTGGAGGTTCCCACATTTCCTCCTCACGTTCAATAATTTGCCATAGCATCTCACAAAACTCAGGGAAACACTTTACTTATATTTACTGGTTTATTACAAACTATTTAGATGAACAGCCAGATGAAGAGGCACATAGGGTGAGACCCAGAAGAGTTCCAAGTGTAGGAGCTTCTGTCTCCATGGAGTTGTGGTTCCCCACCCTCCTGGCATTTGAATGTGTTCACCAACCAGGAAGCTCTCTGAACCTCCTGGTTTAGGGATCGTATGGTGGTTTCATTATGGAGGTACAATTGATTAAATCATTGACCACCAGTGATCGACCCAATGTCCAGAGGCTGGAAGTGAGGCTCAGAGTTCCAACCTTCTAGTCATGTCTGGGTCTTTCTATCATCAGCTCCATTCTGATGCTAGGGGCCCCCAGCCACCAGTCATGTTATTAGCATCAAAAAGGCATTCCTGGGGCACCTGTGTGGCTCATTCCATTAAGCATCTGCCTTCCATCTGCCTTAGGCTCAGGTCATGATCCCAGGGTCCTGGGATGGAGCCCCATATCAGGCTCCCTGCTCGGGGGGGAAGACTGCTTCTCCCTCTCCCTCTGCCTGCCGCTCCCCCTGCTTATGCACGCTCTCTCTCTTTCTCTCTCTCTGTCAAATAAATAAATAAATCTTAAAAAAAAAAAAAAAAAAAAAAGACATTCCTATCACTCCAGAGATTCCAAGGGTCTCAGAAGCTTTGGCTCAGGAACTAGGGTCAAAGACTATATATTGGAGCAAAAAATGCTCCTAGCACCCCTATCACTCAAGAAATTACAAGGGTTTTAGTAGGTCTGTATCAGGCACCAGAGGCAGGGACCAAATGTATATTTCTTACTATGTGACAGTCATAACATTTCAAATACTGAATATTAATTTAGCCAACACTACAATAAAATGACATTGAAAAGTGAGACAGAAAGGGTCTGCCATGGAAATGGGGTAAGGAAGAACTAAGTTTTCATATTCCATAGTGGAAAGTACGCCGGAGACTGAGAAATCAAAAGTAGCAGTACGAGCGTATAATTTAGAGACAAGACACACACACATACACACACACACACACACACACACACACACGGCTGAAGGCAGTGAAAGCAGTTGCTTTGGGAAAGAGGGGGTTTGGAAGAGAATGGGAGCAAGAACCACTGTTTTTCAAAACAAACTGGTAGAAATATCTAGCTCTTTAAACTACATGTATATATAACTTTGATAAAATCTTAAGGAAAAAAGAAATGAGAAAAGACAACAAGGAGAGAGCTAGAAGCAAATATAGCCAAGTTATTCCTCCTTGGTTTTTGTTAATAGCAGTGCTTCCTAGAAGCACGGATTCATTTTCCTCTTGCAGTTAAGTATTGGACTGCTGTCCTCCATAAACAGGAATTATAATGATCTAATATTACTCATAATCTTATTAAAATCTTCCAAGTATGTGTTTTTCATAATCATTTGGAGGAAGAAAGGGCAGAAGTCAATATAGGAGTCATGTTTCTAAAATGGCTTAATCATTCCACTAAAAAAAAAAAAATCATAATCTAAGATTTTCTATTGTTCAAATGTGATTGTTCTCCTAACTTTTTTTGTCTTCACACTCCTCTATCTTGTCCCTCCTGGGATCCTCAAACAGCCCCCATCCATCATATACCTCCCTGGAGGCATGGGGCGAAGGAGGCGTGGGACGGGAGCGAGTGTTGGTGGCAGCATATTAGGAAACACTTCCTAGGATGAGGCCAAACTGTGCTGACCTATCTACCACGATTAGTGGTGTGGTGGTCCTGGGAATTGGGGGATAAAATAAAGAGGCAAAAGAAGAACATAGCAACCACTGTGTTCCCACCATGATGTGGGAGCTTACGTGTTTCCTCTTAAACTTAATAAAGGAGTTTAAAAACGCATTCCCAATTGTCCAGTGACTCCTGACAATCCCCTCAGAGAGCTCCCATCATTTTGTCTGCCTGTACAGAAACAAAGGAAATAGACAGACTTCAGTGGGCTGTAGTGGTCAGGTTTCCAACTGGGTAACCCTAGGGAAGGATTGCAGAATTGCTATAGGAACACTGGGTGAGGGAGTGTGGACCCAGTAGGGACTGGGTACTGGGCTCCCAGGTAGGTAGGTTGGTAGACTGGTTCAGTTTCCCCCATCAGACCATAGGAATAAAAGTCAGAAGAGAGCTTTTTTTTTTTTTTTAATCACAAGGCATTAAGTAGGGAGCTCTAGGAAAGAAATACAATCTCAAATTGAACCAACATTCATTGAAAACCTAATTGTGGCTGGCATTCTGCTAAGCACATTCACATACATCATTTTCTCATTTAAT